TCTTGTTGTTTTCAAGAGTTTTCACTTTAAAGAAATAAGTTACACAACTGATGTTACAATACAAAGAGATGGATGTTGTCTTGATATTTGTTAAATTTTATATATAGAGAAATATATTAAATTTAAAAAAATTAAAATTTATTATTGAAAAAACAACACACATAAAGTACCGAAAATTGGTACCGTTAAGTACCGGTATCGATTCCCAGGTACCAGATATTGGTACCGAATTCTACCAATGTACCTGCAGGTTCAGGACTCCAGCTGTGGCTCTGCCCTCTCATCACAACATGTCTGCCTTMTTTACCTTCCTGGTTTTGTTGTTAACTGACTGAGATAACTTTGAAATAATTAAACTTTGATTATTCTAGAAATTATTACTAATCTTTAACATTTTCATTGAATAAATAGACAAACACACTGTGATGGACTTGTGACCAGTCCAGGGCGTACCCCGCCCCTCACACAGGTACTTAKGGGCACCAGTGACCCTCRTSACCCTGGATAAAAGAAAGTTAAGATAATGGATTTAATACAGAGCCACTTTAAAGGTTTTCCAAACCAAGTGTGGCTTATTTTACATGAATTCGGCCTTTACTGATCAGCTGCAGTTGCTTATAATTGACACAAGATGGCGCCAGAGACTTGTGTTGTAGAGTCATCAGCAGGCAGGTTGTGGTGCTGAAGCTGAGAGTCATTCACAAAACATCTCTGCCCCTGATTCATCTCTTTGTTAAACTCCCGTCAGCTATTGGAGGTCATTTTCACAAAACAAGGCGGTAAATTTGTAAATAATGAGATAAAATTGGGCGTGGTCTACAAGGTTTGACGTATAACTCTGTTACTACTCAGCATAAGTTTAATTATGACTAAATTATTATTTATTAATTCTTATTACATAATTTTGTTCTAAAAAACTTTTTCTAGAGACAACCTCTATATTAGCTTCAATAATCTGTCCTGGTCNTGCAGATAATGCTGACACAATAATCTGTTTTAATCTTTTGTAATTCATTATTATAAAAAAGGAATTAATCATTAACATGATTTTCTTTTTAAAGGAATGTTATCACCCTTTTCTCTCCTACCAACTCACAATTAAATACATGAAACATGTCCTCAAGGATCTGCGTCTTAGTGGGAGTGCCAGGGATCTGTGTACTTCAATCTGAGTCATGTCCTCCTGACTAATGGTGCCAAAGAAAAATTATCTACTTTATATATTTTCTCTCATTTCATTATGGGTAATTTCCCAGGGAGCAAGCTCATTGGTTAACAACTGTGTGGAAGAAAATTATGGTTCCCCATTGCGTTGTGGGTAATCAAATATCTAGAAAAAAAGTCTCACAGCCTGTGTGCTGAGTGCTGCTGTGAACCTGATCTGAGTCAGAAGATTGACAATAAAGTTTAAAGAAGAAATCCAGCTTATTTGTACATATCATTTTGTACAATGCATATTTTCCCAACAGGACCATAAACTCCATTTTAATGATTATTTATGTTGCACATTTAGAAATTTTTACATATTTTTAAATTTGTTTAAGATGCCTGGAGTGATGTTTTTTGTTTCAGTATGATGCTGAATTATTTGCATCACTTCTAAAATGCATGCAGTAAGTTTTACATATTTATTTTGAAAACAATTACCTCATAAATTTGTGATAGTTTTAGGGAGCAAATGGGTTTTTACTCTTAGTTTTAATAAGCACTATTTGACAATTTAAGTGAAAACAGAGGTGCTTTTAGGTTAGATTTTTGTGAAAGTTAATTTCCCAGTCCTACAAGGGAGAACATGTGAAAGTATGTAGTAAAAATGTGAGTACCTGATGTACTAYAGCTTAATTATTTTTTATGTCTCAGCCTCCTTTTTTATATTTATTTGACTGTCCACAGGGGGGCGTTCTTTTTAAAATGTGAGACTTTTATATTTGTAAAAGCCTCTTGTAGAATTATTAATAACTCATCTCCATGAAGCAGTTTGCAGTGCTGACCACCAGGGGGCGACACTCCGCTGCGTTTCTTTTGCTCCGCCCTCAGGGCCGCTTCATGCTGCCTTCACGTGTCACTCGGAACTTGCACATACAAAAACCGAATAGCCTGCTTTTGATATGTTTATACCTATTTATTCCAGGCAAATATTGTGGCAMATTAAAAAAAATTGTTAGAGTATTTGATGTTTCTTTATTTTTTAAAGTAAATCTGACGTCAGATGTAAGGCTCCAAGTTTTTATCTACTTGAGTACATTCGTGATATTTTAATTCAAGATTCACTTATGAAGATTTTCTTGTTATCCCTTTATCAGCATTATTAATATTTTATGTTATTTATTTATTTTTGTAGTTTTCTATATGTGAAGTGTTTTGTCTCCGTTGGCACGTGAAGGCATCATGACGGTGAGCAGGTAGAGATCCTCGGGGAGCCTCCGTGAGTCCGGGAGATAAACTTTTGGGTYCGTACCGTAACTCAACCCTCCGCCCCGGTTCTCCGTGGACCTTCAGCGGGAACTAAATGGAAGCTGGACGCGGCACCGTTGGATTGTTTGTTGAATTTGAAAGCAGAAAACCAGTCGACGGAGACTCGCAGTGCTCGGACAGAGTTTAAGTTTTAATTGAAGAAAGTGTCTTTTTTTGCTGCGGTTAATAATTAGATAAAAATAACTGTTTTTTTTATGTAGTTTCTCGGTTGTAAAACAGAAAAAAAAAAAGAAAAGAGAAACTCTTGCTCAACTTTTATCTGCCAGCATGACTCGGAGCTCTCCGGCGGCAACCTGTAGCTCAGCCTTTGAAGTTCAAGTCGTGGCTCGCGAGCGTTTTTTGGTGGATTTCTGCAGAAAATGTGGCGCCCACAGGACGGGCTGAGATCTGACGCTTATTTCCCACCGCTGCGTCGCTCAGTGCGGATGAAAGGACACGGATACACCATGACCTGTGGACGACTGGGGGGAGACACGCGTGACGAGAGAACATCCAAATGAGGACTTTTTGTTTGTTTGGTGAAAAATCAGCTTTTTGGACCGAGTGGACAACACACAACCCTGGATACCCTGAGGATCAGAGCTGGACTCCTGCTCCACATTTAGAGTTTGATTATTAACCCCGGCTGTGGATGGAAAGCCTCCAGCTTTAACAGTTTTGGATTATATCTCCTGAGCTGCAGTCGTTGAGGGGAGGCCTTAAAAAGACCCGCATTTGCCTGCTTTGAAGTCCACCAATGTGCGGCCGGGCACCGCCGCCGCCGCAGCCGAGGCCATGACCGTGCCTCGGCGGCGCCTGGCCGCGCTCTGGCCGTGGCTGCTCATGGCGGCCCTGCAGGTGGTGCTGGGCCAGCCGGGCCCGGAGTCCGAGCGCGCGCTGCTCCGAGCGCTCATCAAGGTGACGCTGGTGAAGCACGAGACCGCCGGGGAGCCCATCGTSTTGGAGGGGGACTTCGTGGGAGGCAGCGCCGGCAAAGCGGAGGGGAAACTCATGCAGGTACTGTCGGACCTCACCTGGGGCTCGAGCTGCGCGGCACCTGATGACGTCACATCGGCGTCTGACACTGACACTGCATCACACAACTTTTGTCATAGCCAACTTTAAAACAAAACCGTTTGAAAGAGTTGCTCCTGCATGTTTTCCCCCCAGATGTGTTGTTATAAAATGCGGGCATGCACTCAATGTAAACAAAGCCCCATGTGGAAACTTGGTTGGCTTTTATTAAGTCTGTGTAGGCAAACAGTGACATCAGACAAGTGTAAGACATTCAGACAGAAATATGAGTGGATTTACAGCTCATGGAGAAATTGTCAAGATTTTAATATCTGCTCAAAACATAGGCGGGGTGTCACAAAACTATAATGGGACACTCAAAGTTTCTAACGCAAATCTTACTTTTTCTCCAGTTCATAATCCTAAATATACACTTACGAACCAGTACATCAAGGACTTTTCCATGATTGCAGCCATTGTTGATTTATTTTAGTCACTTTCTGAAGGTAAACAAACATGGGAGATGGCAGCCATTCATAAATTTTATTTGCTCATTTTTAATGTAAGGGCATGTTTACCATTAATATGATAAATAAGTGCAATTTTTAATGTTTTTGGAGCGGTCGTGATAATGCAGAGTATCCTTAAATTATGTCATGTTATTTATAAATAAACTTAGCACAAAAAGTAAAGAAATTAATATTCAGGTTATTTCTTTGTAACATTGCTTCTTCGCAACAAATCTTTAAGTGTTGGAAAGGATTTACATTGTCCTTAGCTGTCATTGACTCTTGTTTTTTGAACTTCTGGTTCCCCCCAGTTACCTGTTAAAAACAAAATAATAATAATAAAAATCTCCCGAACAGAAATTTCTTTACTTTATCTGCTAAGTTTATATAAAACAAAGAAACCATTGACTGATAAACAASAATCATTTWAACATTTTTGGCCATAGATTTATTAAACTAAMAGTAATGCACTTTGGTAATTGGTGAAGATGCACAGACAACAGATGATCTTAGATCAATGGGTCTATCAGCAGTTTACCCTTCATCCTCCATCTGATAATATTTATGACACCTGTACCTGTCTGTACACCTTCAGTTAAGTGACAATTACTAAGATGTGCAGAGTAACTTTCCCAGAGCTGCTCCCAGTAATCCATCTTCCCGCTGAGCGTGGGATCGCAGCATCTAAATGCCTTGAAACGTGTTCGAAATCATTTTTGCGCCAAGGTGCCATTTTTTTTTCAGAGCCTCGTTTCGTTCAAAGTGCCAGCTTTTGTTTTGCTATTTTTGGAATCTTAATATCAAGGTGTGGCCAAAAGCCTGTTAAAAAACAGCAAATCATGTTGGAACCCATGTGAGCTTTTAACTTTTTGCCTCTCTCCCCGCACTTAGATAAAAAAATAAAAAAAACATGGTGTTAGCTGTAAATGTGAAGTATTTGGTCTTATTCAGTGTGCATATTTTAGGATTCAGGAGTGGATTAAGGTTCCCGGGGCGTAAAGCTCGCCTGTGTCGATTTATTTACCGTTTCCAAAGGAACGGGACGACAGATGTGAGGGACTGTAAGATCTCATCTCTCCTCACTCACCAGGTGTGTGTGTGTGTGTGTTGGTGGGGGGGGGTGTCAGTGGTAAACCAGCTGCTCCAGTTTGCAGTAACTGATAAGGCTTTATGTTGCTTTATCATGCATAAAGCCCAGCTTTAGGCACCGCTTGTTTTTCTAAAAGCTGATCTGACTGTGAGGTGGAGGATGCTGTGGAGATTAAAGCACGTCCTGATTATTGGGATTTTCAAGCTTCCTTAAGTTTGTCTTTAAGCTTGCACACTTCAGCAGAGTCATGGAGGTATTTATTAAGTATAACTACAGTAAATGTCAGGTTTTTTTTGCCCAGGAGTGCCACATCCATGCTAATATTTGTTTCTCTGCTGCAGTCAGAGCGGCAGAGAAACATCAGATTCACACTAGAGGTCGTGTTCAGTTTTCCTCAGACCCTCTTTACGCAAAGTGTTCCAACAGTGCACACAGGCTTATATTATGGCAAATCTTTGTTTTTAAGGGGACACAAGAGGCAACTTTGTGTTCTTGTCTTTCAGTTGATGCGGAGGTTGAAGGTTCAGAAGTTTTTATGGTTSTTCTCTCAGAGTGTGAAGCTAATTTRTTTTCATGCATATGTGAAAKAAGTTCACTTTTGTTAGAAGTTTTCACAGTTGTGCTTTGAGAGTTTTAACAGGTTTGAATCCCTCTAAGGCAGACTATCAGCAAATCTAAAATCTGCGTAGCTCTGAGTTATGATGAGGAGACAAGTAGCCTAATGTTAACAAAAGAGTCTCTGAAACTTTCTTGATATTCATGTTTGTCGCTTGAACTTTAAAGGGGCAATATCATGTAAAATCAACTTTTTTTTTAGTTTTATATCATGTTATAATGTTATACT